GCTCGCCAGACAGACAGAGAGAGACATAGAGACAGAAAGCGAGAAATCACCCCCCAGGGGGGATGGTCACGCCGCAATCCCTTCTCCTCCATTCTCCTCCCGGGATCTTGGGCACGCACGCACACACGCCCGGCGTGAGTTTTAAGCCACCGGGTCCGGGACACGAACCGTGGTTGACTACGTGGGAGTCCAGCGACATAGCCATTACGCTAACTGCTGGTTCCCTCTTTTTGTATCTTTTTAACATATACAAAAAGAGTAAGATTTTTAAGTAAGTTTTTGTGGTGTTCTTGGCTTATAAGACCATCTTCAAATTTACTATCCTAAAATATGATACTTTCTCAAAAAATTCTTGTGCAAAAAAAACGATTTACTGTACATTTCCAAATAGTTAGAAGAAAAGAATTTGAACATTCCCAACACAAGGAAATAATATAAGTTTGAGGTGATAGATATGCTAACTACTCTGATTTGATCATTACATAATGTATACGTGTATAAGAACATCACACTGTACCTTTTGAGTAAGTACCATTATATGTCCATTAAAAATAAAACTTTAAAAGATATGCACTATTCTTATTTAAAAAAAGATACACTGTAGAGAAGTTATTAACTAGTTTCATGTGTACCCTTCCATGTATTTTCTATACAATATTAATATACTTTTTTTTTACTCAAATGAGCTCATATTAGGTATATATTTCTGCTTCTTGCTTTTTTAAACTCTTACACTATAATGTAATGAATCTTTTTTGTTTTGAAAGAGGAAAGCTGGGGGAACTGTTCAATATTTGAGCATGCAAAATTATTAGTAGAAAATAGATTTTTCTCCTGGAGGGATTTTTGTAAGTAGTTTACTTTGATATGTTAATAATGTGTGTACCAGTTACTGTATCATCTGGTGACCTACTTCAGTCAGCAGTTGAAGGCAATGCTTTATTACTTTTACTTGGTTTGAACCAAATAGTTATTTTTTCTCTCAGTTCTGCAACAGGTATGTGGTGGACAGGAGAGAAAATAACTTATTATTACACACTTACTATGTACCAGTAGTAATAAACACTAGGTACTTTGCATGTGAGTTAGAGTGTATTAACCCCATTTTTATAGTTGGAAAGCAGAGAGAGGTTAGGTGATCTGCCTGTGACAGCTAACTACTAAGAGTAGTAATAAGATTGAAAGCCAGATCCGTTCTATTCAGAGTTCAAACTTTATTATGTTGCATGAAAGCTATCAAGAGCTGTAAATAGCTGAGATGCTAAAAGGAAAAAAGCAACTTTCATGTTTTACAAAGAAAAGTACTTCAGACATTTCGTTTGTAGACAAGCTATTGGTGTTATCCCTGTGGTTTTTCTAAAGTACCACCTTCTCAGTATATTTGAGAGTACGTTTCAGGGTAAAACCTATGGACAGAGTGACTTTCTTAACATATTCCATCAGTAACAATGTAGTAATGATTCTTATTAAGAAAAAGGAGCAAGGAAGAGAGCCCATGTAATTGGAAAAGATCCGGCCCCCTAGGAGCACATGAAAAATGACCACCATTTCCATGTGTTGTTGTAACTCAGGCTCTCGTTTCTTCAGCGCCTTTTGCCAGGTTGAGAATGTTCCTCGTTTGGATCATTTTTTTAACTTGTTCTTCCAAAGAGCACTTCAGCCTGCCACACTGCATGCCAATGCCAGTGCCCAGCAGTATGATGCTTCCAGTGCAGTACTTCTAGACAGTCTTCCTGGAGTTCGGTGGCTCACACTTCCACGGGAAGTCAAGGTAATCTTAGGTATCAGAAATAAGAACCATGATAACTTGCTTGATTATAATCCTCTATCTTCCTTTTCTTAGGCTTTTTGTTATTTTTAGGATTATGGGTAAGAATTAAAAGAGGCAGGAGTTCCAGTGCAATAAACTTAGACAAAAAAAAAAAAATTTTTTTTAATTTTTTGCTAGATGGCTTATGTGCTGGCTGGAGGAAGAAGGGAACTGAGGAGCCCCTCCCGCCTCTTGGAGGATGGTCATGCTGCAGTCCCTTCTCCATTTCTCCTTTCAGAATTTTGGGGACACACACACACATGCTTGGCATGTTTTTCAAGTCACTGGGTCCAGGGCCTATGAACCATGCAATCAATTGGCCATGTGGGATCCAGCCCCCTTAACTACCATACCACCAGCTGGCCCCACTTATCCCTTCTTTAATACTCTTTCTTCCTTTTATCCCTCCCTTTCTTTAGAGAGATCTTTTTTCCTATTTTTTGGAAAGAGATGTTTGCTATAGGGCATGTGTGTTCACCAGAGAGACAGAGAAAAATAGAGGAGACCCCATTCTTCTCTCGGACTTTGGGAATGCATGCACATGCACCTGGCATGAGTTTTAAGCTGCCGGGTTCAGGACTCGAACCACAGTTGACTTTGTAGAGTCCAGTGATGTAATCATTACACCATTTGCTGGCCCCTCCTTTTTTTTTTTTTTTTTAAGTTTTATCTATTTATCTCTTCTGAGAGAGAGAGAAGCACTTCTGTTAAGGTCCCTACACTCCCATCTACTTCCAGTCTCAGCCAGCCCAGATTACAGGCATATAAGTGCCCAGTGTGTAGAGAAAGGCCCTGGAATGCAACCCCGGGACCTTCCCATATGGTCCCAGTTGGATTACTGCCATGCCACTGTCCAGTGCATAGATCTGACTTTCTTATCTTTATGATTTTCATTCTCTCCAAAGAACTTCTAAAATTTCTGCAAGCAGGTCTTCTGGCAACAGATGCCCTCAATTTTTTGTTGGTCTCAGAAAATCTGTATTTCTCCTTCACTTTTGAAGAATAATTCCTTGGGGTACAGAACTTGAATGGTTTGTTGGGGAAGTCATGACGCCATTTTGCCCAGAAAAACAGGAAAATACATCGTGACTTTCCCAACGACCTAGTAGGTTGATGAAAGTTTCTGTCACGCTTAAATATTTCACTCGTGTCTCATTTGCATGATTTCTGAGAAGTCATTTAATTCTTGCCTTTGCTTCTCTATAGGTAAGAAGTATTTTTCTTCTATTTCCAGCATGTTTTATCTTTGATACATTGTTTGAAATAAGATGTCTCAATCTAGAGTTTTTGTTTTGTTTTGTTTTTAGCATTTTCCTGCTTGGCCTTTTCTAAACTACTTGATACTATGGTTTCATGTCCGACATTGACTTGGGGAAATTCTCAGTCATTGTTTCAGTGTATCTTCTATTCTTTTTTTCTCTTTCATCTCCTTCTGGTATTCCCAATTTGCATATATATCTTACACCTTTTATATTTGTCCCAAGTTCTTGGATATTCTTTTCTTTTTAAAAAAATCTTTGTTCTCTTTGGTTTTCAGTTTAAAGATTTTTACTGATATATCCTCAGCCATGTCCAAACTACTAATAAGCCCATCAAAATCATTTTTCATTTCTGTTACATGGTTTGTAGCATTTCTCTTTAGTCTTTTCCATCCCTCTACTTACATCACCCATCTATTTTTGCTTGATACTGAATCACAGATGTTTTACATTCCCAGTCTAATATTTCCAGTATCCCTACGATAACTGGTTATGATTCTTGCTTTGTGTCCTCAAACTGTGGGTTTTGCCTTTTAGCATGCCTTGTAATTTTTTCTTAATGGCTGGTCATAATGTACTATGTACAAGGAACTGCTGTACACAGACCTTCAGTATTGTGGTGGTAAGGTGTAGAGGGAGGAAAAGCATTCTGTGAACAGGTTTGTCTTTTAATGAGCCTACAGGCTTCTGGACTATGAACTTTACAAAGGTTTCTGAGTTTTTCTTTCCTCTCTTTGGTGGGTCAGGATGGCTGGAGTGAACTGGAGTTGGGTATTTCCCTTCTCTTAAGTCAGTGGTGCTCTGACGATAGCCAGGCAGATTAAGCTGAGGTTAATAGTGGTTTCTCCTAAGTCAGGACTTGTTAAGAATGTAATGTTCTGGTGTTTTTTGAAGTGACTCTTTCTCCCCCTCCCCCTACCAGACTCATAAGAGGATCTTCTCCAGTACACACTGTGACAACCTGGTTGAACTCCTGTGGTATTATGAAATTGACAGAAGTGTAAGGTCCCCTAAAGACGGGGTCCTGCAGACTTGTACACAGCTTCTCTAGCAATTCATCTGTACATTAAACCTGAATTATGGTTCAAGTTTTCCTATCCTGGCACTGGTTCCCTTAGTAGTTTCCACTCATGGGTCTGTTCTGGTAAGCTGTAAATCCATGAATTCATCTGTCTCCCCAAACTTGGGGTACAGTGATGTGCTCTGTGTCCTCATCTCTTTTACATATCCAAGAAGAGTTACTGGTTTTTCAGTCTGTATCTTTTTATTTGTTAGGATGGAGTATCAACTGCCAGCTCTTTGCATGTAGAACCAGAAACCAAAGTCCTCAAAGTTTTTGTATTACCAGCCAATTCAAAGAACTTACATACTTTCTTCTTCTCTTTAAGATTTCTTTTTCTTATTGTATTAGAAAAGTAGAATTTATTGACCATATATTGTCTACTGGAAAATATTAAGGAATTCAGTGCCTTAAGAAATCTAGTTAAAAATATGAGGATGGCTGGTGGCATGATAATAACAGTGCTGAACTCCCACAGATCAGCCACAGGTTAAGCCCTGAGCTCAGCGGCTTGAAAATCACACCAGATGCATTTCAAAATCCTGAGATAAGAATGGAGAAGAAATTGCAACATGGCCATCCCCTCTGCGGGCTGATTTCTCACTTTCCTTCTCTCTGTCTCTCTGTCTCTCTCTAGCAAGTACATGCACCCTCTAGCAAAAACCTGAAAAAAAATGTATATTTAAAAATATATGTGTGTGAGGTAACTTGTGCCTGACAAATTTAAATAGGCTTTTTAAAAATTTCTTTGTATTTCATGATCCTACTCTCAGCCCAGCAACCAGTCAGAATCACAGGAATGGGTGTCTGGCATGTTGAAGCAGACCTGGGATGTGAACCTAGAACTTTCCTCACTTAGTCTCTAGCATCACACAGCAGTGCCCCTACTGCCTGCATCACCATGGCAGAGCCTGGAAAAAGTTATATTTAACTTGGAAAAAATGTATTTGTTCTAAGTTTAATGTATGATGAGGTCTCACTTCAGTCTTCTTTCCCAGGTGTTTGCAATTTCCCTATTTTGTTTGTCAGGTTTTTTTTTTTTCAGTCGTATTTTCCCAAGGCATATTGGAATAATTAATTAAAAAAGTATTTAATCTCAAAAAAAAAGTATTTAACCTTTTCTCTTAAGAAATATAAGGAACAGTTATAGTCATCTTCGATGTGTCCATAGAGCTCAGTAGCAAAGACAGCAACTCATTAAACAATTTCTCAGTTGGGGGACCAGTAGTTAGCATAATGGCTATGTCACTGGATTCCTACGTAGTCGACCGCAGTTCAAATCCTGGATCCAGTGACTTAAACTCACGCCAGGTGCGTGTGCATGCATGCCCAAGATCCCAAGAGGAGAATAGAGGAGAAGGGATTGTGGCATGGCCATCCCCCGTGGGGGGTGATTTCTCGCTTTCTGTCTCTCTGTCTCTCTCTGTCTTTCTGGTGAGCGTGCGTGCCCTATAACGAAAACCTCTCCAAAAAAAGTAAGTCACAGTTGGCAATTTTTTCCTTGTCCTATAGTTTTTCATAAGACAGACTATAGCCAAAAACAAGAGAACATGAAGTATTTGCTAGATGTAAGAGAATGTAGATTACAAATGAGTAATAAGTCATACTGTGTGAAAAGCATTGAAAGGCATGACTAATGTTTCAAAAGCTTTTGTCATCCCAGTAAGACACAGTTTGTGAAACATAGTCCTGCAGAGGGTGCCTTGGCCTTTAAACAATTTTTAGAAAGGATTCTTCTTCACAAATAGTATGTATGGTATAAACTTCAATTTCAAATAGTTTTTAATGTCTATATATGCATTACAGATTAAACTACATACTAAATTTATTCTGTCATTAAATTCTGAATGCTTCAGGGAGGAACAAAGATAATACGTGAAAGAGTTCAGGCAATTTCCATAGAAACAAAAGCCAAATCCTAAACAAGAGATTTTTTTCTAATAACTCTGTGGGGTAGTTAAACTGTGCCAGAGTCCATGGGAGCACTTGCCTTCATGTTTTAATCTATGAATAAGGATTGACAACCTTTTTATATAAAACATTGTGTCTAGGAGAGACAGGGAAGAATGTTAGTATTTTCCAAGAATTCAACTGTTCAAAAGTATACAGGAAATGGAAAAACAAAAACAACTCAAAATAGGTTGGCTACCTTAAGATTGATTTTCATTTTCTCTAAAAAATTTAGTGGTTTAAAAAAAAAAATTTTTAACACGAAACTGGAAAGCAATCTTTTAACCTTAGAATTGTTTTGCATTGAACATAAGAGTCAAGACATTTTGTAATAATTGAGATTTAGTTAAAAATGCTCTTATGTTAAATAATGTTTAAATAACTATAAAGCTTAAAAATAAGATGTTGCATTTTGAGACATTGAACACAATGGAGAAAGATACTCAGTTTGTAGTTATTAAACACTTTATATAGTATTTACTAAGAAGTAACTATGAGTTATATGTTTATGTTACTCTTTTTTTTTTTAACATAGATGGAATTAGACACGGCATTAAGTGACTTGGAGGCTGCAGATTTTGCAGAACTGGTAAGTGGAGGGGATTTTAGGCAAGGCTCAAGGCTAAATTGTTTTGTAAATCAGTCATTATTCTAAATATTTCCCAAGTGGACATATAATCTTGAAATACACATCAGGCCTCTGCTTTGACATGGACAGAATCTATTTTGCTTGTCTTAAGATTTTTTGTTTGTTACACATGTATATTCTGAGAATAAAACATGCTTAATTGTTCTTAAGAACAATTTCTAATTTCTTTTCTAAGAAAAGGAAATACAGATTTGATATTGATAAAAGTTAGGTAGAAACCCTGTAGATCTGAATTGGAAGTATCTATGTATTTTTTAAAATTTATTTTTTAAATAATTATTTTATTTGTTATTATTATTTCAATTTGATCAGAGAGAGAGAGAAAGGGAAAGTGAGAAAGCAAGCCACCAGGTTCTACACTCGAACTGTGGTCAGCAATGTGGAAGTCCAGCATCCCAACCACTCTGCCACCTGCTGGCCCCTATTTTATTTTATTTATTATTTTTCAATTTGACCAGAGAGAGAGAGTAGGAAAGTAAGAAAGCAAGCCACAAGGTTCAGGACTCGAACCATAGTCAGCCATGTGGGAGTCTGGTGCCCCAACGACCATGCCGCCTGTTGGCCTCCATATGGCTTTTAATCTTATAAAAATTGTATTTCCCGACTTTGTCAATAAAAAGGCCTAGAAATAGCGACCATTCCAGCAGTATTAAGCACTACTTATACTCAAGCCATTGAGTATAAACAATGTTTCTTGCTAAAAGGATCCAGGACTCCTCAGAGAAAAGGCTCATTTCAGATTTGGGACTGAAAATATACAAGATAAGCCTGGGGACATAGAGTTATATCGGAAATCAAGGAAGCTTTCAAAAATGATTAGATTAGAGTGGGGTTAAAGTTGTCAGATATAATTTGAAGAGACTTCCACTGAGTATCTACAAGGATAATTACCAGAATAGGTTAAAACATATCAGGTATGTTTAAATCCTTGAGTTCATAATGATAGGGGCAAGGGGGGAGGCAGCTTATTGGTTAGTTTTAGAGAGTGCTAAGAACCCAACTTATTTTTGTGTAAATTGATAAATGAGGAAGGATCATTTATTCTGCCTTTCCTGTCTGAACCTTATGTCACGGTTACCAAATAAAGATGAGGGAGAGTTTTTCTTTATGTATGTAATCTGACATGTTAAGAAAGAATTACAGAATTGGGATATCACCATTTTGCAATCCCTCGGTGAATTAAGAGATCTAGGCAATGGTTATAAGTAGCTGTTAACATTATAAAAACAAAGACAGCCAGATCGTATGTGGTTCCTGATGGAAACACAGAAACTATTTATGAAACATGCCTGACAGGGGCCTCAAGATCTAACTATTTACCAATTTACAGGAAATACCATCTAAAAGGGACATGCTAAATGACCCCATTTGGAGAAGGGGGCAGTGTAATTAGTAAAATCTAGACTTGGAACATTAGGATAGTTTCTTCAATAAATTAGAAAAGGGTGGACAGGTTAGGAGGAGAGAGAGTAAAGAGATTGAGAGTCAATATGTTAGTATAAGACTTAAACATATCAACCAAGTACAATATATATGGCCTTTCTTAGATCCTGATCCAAGCAAACGTCTGCAGGTGGCATAGTGATTGAAGTGCTAGACTCTCACATGGCCAATCATGGTGAGAATCCTGGACCTGACAGTTTTCTGGCGTGTGTGTATGTGCCCAAAATCCCAGGAAGAGAATGGAGGAGAAGGGATTGTGGCTTGCCCAGACCTGCTGGGGGGGGGGTGATCTTTCTCTTTCCTTCTCACTGTTTCTCTCTCTCTCTCTCTCTCTCTCTCTCTCTCTCTCTCTCAGGCAAGCACATGAACCCTGAGGCAAAAACCTAAATAAAAAATAAATTAGGAGACCAGCAGATGGTGTAGTGGTTACATTGCTGGACTCACACCTGGTTGACTATGGTTTGAAACCCAAACCCAATGGCTTAAACCTCATGCTGGATGAGTGTGTATGCATGCCCAAGATCCCTAGAGGAGAAAAGAGGAGAAGGAACTGTGGCATGGGTGTCCCCCAGGTGATTTCTCACTTTCTGTCTCTCTGGCGAGCACAGGTGCCCTATACCAAAAATCTCTCTCAAAAAAATAATAGATGAAAATAAATATAGGGGCTGGCAGGTGGCACAGTGGTTAAAGGCACTGGATTCCTACATGGCCAACTACGGTTTGAGTCCCAGATCTTGCAGCTTGCTTTCTCACTTTCCCTTTCTCTCTCTTCTCTGTCTCTCTCTGGTAAAATTAAGAAAATAATAATACAAATGGAATTAAATAAATAAATATTTTTAAAATAAGTTGTAAGACATTCAAGGAAATGTAAACACTAATGACTAGATATTAGATAAGAATACTTCGTTAGATGTGTTAATTTAATACCATTAACATAACATGGAATACCATGGTTGTATATTAAGATTTCTTCTGTTCTAGAGATTTCTTCTGAAGTATTTACAGATGAAATGGCATAATACCTGAGATTAATTTTGAAATAATTCAGCAGTGAGAGGAGGAATGAGAGAGGGCTACAGATGAAACAAGATGAGCCATGTACTGGTCACAGTTGAAGCTGAAGCTGATAGGTACTTAGGAACTAATTATACAGTTCTCTTTTTGTATATGCTAAAATCTTCAGTAATAATAGTTCTTTTAAAAAAGTAAATAGGAGTGATCAGCAGATGGTGTAATGGTTATGTTGCTGGGCTCCCACATAGTCGACCGCGGTTTGAGCCTGGACCCAGCAGCTTAAAACTCATGCCAGGCTCATGTGCATGAGAGGAGAATGGAAGAGAATGGATTGTGGCGTGTCCATCCCCCGTAGGGTGTGATTTCTCATTCTGTCTGTCTGTCTCTGTCTCTCCAGCGAGTGCACATGCCCCATAGCAAAAATCTCTCTTAAAAAAAAAAAATGTAAATGGGAAGTGGAGAGTAGAATCCGCAAGGGTTGGATCATTCTTAAGAAGATTAAAAGTGGGGAGAGAAATGGCTGAGTCTTAACCAAAAATGGCTCTGAGCAAATGGAAGAGTATTTTTGTTTGAAGGAAAAATGAATAACTTAAGCATGGTTAATTCTTCATAGGTCATGCTTTTGCACTGATGGAGAATGTTTGGATGAATAGTAATCACTTGGAGCAGTTTAAATCTAAAGTATTAAGATATGTAGATTTTTTGGAACTTCTATCCAATAGATTAATTTAAAAATCTAATTTCTTTCTTTGTACAATATAATTTTTGGGGGGGGGGATTTTTGCTATAGGGTGAGTACACTAGCCTGAGAAAGAGAGAGAAGGAGAGAAAGAAAATGAACAATCACCCCTTCCTCAACCTCCCACCCCCAGGGTAATGGCCACAATGCAATCCTTTCTCTTCCAGTTTTCTCTTAGGAGTTTGGGCATGCACACATGTACCCAGTGTGATTCTCAAGTCCTGCTAACTCCAAGACTCAAACTACACAGCCAGGGATGCAACACCCTAACCTCCATGCCACCTGCTAGCCTAATAGAATGTAATTTTACTAAGCAGTGGAACTAACAATATTTTCTATGATTAGAAAAATATCTATTGGGGGCCAGTGGTGGTGTGGTGGTTAAGGTGCTGGACTCCCACATGGCCAACCATGGTTAGCGTCCTGGACCAAGCAGCTTAAAACTCAGGCCAGCCACGTGTGCATACATGTCCAAAATCCTGAGAGAATAGAGGAGAACGGATTGCGGTATGGCCACCTCCCCCCCTGCCCTGGGGGAGGATTTCCCACTTTCCCTCTCTCTGTCTCCCTCTAATGAGCATACAAGTTTTTTAGGAAAAAAAAATCTAAAAACAACAACAAAAAAAAAGTAAGGAAGTACCCTATTGGGATTCCGTAGATAAAACTTTAAAAACACAACCCATGAAAGAAAAAAATTGGTAAACTAAGAATATATAATAATATGACTACTTTGGAAAACAGATTGGCAATTTCTTAACCTAAACGTACACCTGCCCTATGATTCAACCATTCTTTTTTTTTTTTTTTTTTTTTTGGGGGGGGTTTTCGGCGCATGCGCTCGCCAGACAGACAGACAGAGACATAGAGACAGAAAGCGAGAAATCACCCCCCCAGGGGGAATGGTCACACTGCAATCCGTTTTCCTCCATTCTCCTCTTGGGATCCTGGGCATGCACGCACACTCGCCCGGCATGAGTTTTTTAAGCCACCGGGTCTGGGACTCGAACCGCGGTCGACTACATGGGAGTCCAGTGACATAGCCATTACGCTAACTGCTGCTTCCCTGATTCAACCATTCTTTTCCTGTTTACCCAAGAGAAATGAAAGCATGTGTAATACAAAAACCTGTATATAAACAGTCACAGCAGCTTTATTTGGAATAACCAAAAACAACTCAAATAACTCAAATGTCCATCCACAGGCAAATAGACAAACTGTAGTGTATCCAAGCAATGGAATACTTTTCAGGAAAAAATTGTGAGGGGGAAGTTTTGGTGGAACTGTTCTGTCTCAGTTTTGGTGGCACCTATACATCTATATGCATGGTTCACAATGAACAGTTCACAATGAATTTTACCGTAATAAAAAATAATAAGGGTCTATTCTAAACTCCTTGTGAAATTATGTTTAAGATTTAATCTTTTATTATTTGTCTTCTTCTTAAATTATTATTAAACGATAATTTACATTTAGTAAATTCTTTTGTACCCTTTATAGTCAACCTCTCTCCCTCCCCTCAATCCCTGACAACTTGTATTCTGGCCACATGATTCGACCTTTTCTAGGAGATCATGTAAATTGAATCATACAGTAGTAATTTTTGTGTCTGACTTCTTTCACTTAACAGCACTTAAGCCCTTTTTATTGTGGAGTAGTACTGCCATTGTATGGATGTATCACAGTTTATCTATTCTCTGACTGAGGGATATTTAGGTCATTCCCAGTTTTTAGTTTTCCTTAGACGTCACTGTGTTTTTTAAATTGTGAAAGTAATACATGCACATCAGGTGAAGATATAACCATGGTTAATAAATGTCTTCCCTTATCACTCACCTCCACTTCTACCCACAAATGTAACAACTTTTATGGTTTGAAATGTATCCTCCTCCAGACCTTTTTTCGTATACATGTATTTTCACACACAAAATAATATATCTCTCTATATATACATTTTTATAGTTGGGGGGCAGTCTTGACAAAAATCAGATCATAGTATTTGGTTCTGCAGCTTTTATTCTTTGCGGAGCAATATATCCTAAAACCTCTTCTGCCTGCTCATATGGTGTGACTACGTTTCAACAGTATTATGATATTCTGTAGTATAACATGCCTAATTTAGGACCATTCCTCCTTTTCTGAACTTCACATTATCTCTAATTTTTCCATGCTACAAATAATTCTTTCTTATATAAAAAAATCTTGATTCTCTTTTTTTTTTTTCCCTGAGGATTTTTGCTATAGGGCGCGTGCGCTCGCCAGACAGACAGAGACAGAGAGATAGAAAGCGAGAAATCACCCCCCAGTGGGGATGGCCATGCCACAGTCTCTTCTCCATTCTCCTCTCGGGATCTTGGGCACACACGCACACGCACCTGGCGTGAGTTTTACGCCACCGGGTCCGGGACTTGAACCACGGTCGACTATGTGGGAGTCCAGCGACATAGCCATTATGCTAACTGCTGGCCCTTGATTCTCTTCTTAGAGTATTTTTGTAGATTTCTAGATGTGGAATTAGTTACTCAAAGGGTATGTGTATTCAGTTTGTTTTGTACATATATTTTACAGTTGCCCAAAAGTAGGTTATACCAATTTGTGCTTTCAGAAATAGCCATCTAATGGTAATATTAGATATTTCAGGTGATGTATAATAATAGAAGTTTTTACCTTAACAGATTAAAAAAAATTTTTTTGAGACAAAAATTTTTGCTATAGGGTACATGTACTCATCAGAGAGACAGAGAATGAGAAATAACCCCCCGGGAGGATGGCCACATCATGATCCCCTCTCCTCCAGTCTCCTCTCAAGATTTTGGACTGGCACATACATGTGCCCGGCCTGAGTTTTTAAGCCGTTAGGTCTGGGACTCATGGGAGTCCAACGACTTAACCATTATGCCATCTGCTGGTCCCAAGAGATTTGTTTTCTTTTGTTTTTTTAAAGGATTATTTTACTTAACTTTATTCACCCATTTATTTATTTATTTTAATTTGACCAGATTGGGGAGGGGGGGGTGGAGAAAAGGGAGAGAAAGCAAGAAAGCAGTCCACCAGGTCCGGGACTCAAATCACAGTCAGCCATATGGGAGTCCAGCACCCTTAACCACCATGCTACCTGCCGGCCCCCAACAGATTTATTGTTAAAACACCCTCATAGAAGTAACAGGTTTTATATTCTGTCCTTAGATGTCTGTACTCAACTGTGTCTTGGAATAATCAAATAAAAGGTTGCTTTCAGTCAAATAAACATAAATGTGTATTTCACCCTACCCTAATACTATAGTATACTGATTTTTTAAAAAGGCACTAGGAAAAGTTTAGTTACTAAAAAATTAATTTTCATTTAATGTGGTAGCTTAAGTAGGACTTTTTTTATTAATATGTACGCTGTGAATTTTTTCCCAGTCTGAGGATTATTATGACATGAGGAGGCTATATACCATTTTGGGGTCTTCTCTATTTTACAAGGTAAGTTGAAGTTTGAAATTCTTATAAATGTTTAAGTGCGGTTTTAAACAGACAAAGTAAATCTTCTCAAACTTTTACAAACATGAAAAATGAACTTTTATTCTGAATGTAGATATAACATTAGATCTTAAAGTAAGACTTATACCTACATATTGATGAAGATAGCATATTTATGGTTTCATTGCATTCCAAAGCATTTGCAAATGTATAAATGAGAAGCAGTACTCAAAAACCAAGTATATAAGAGACAAGAGCAATACTTTCTTGATTTCCTATTGCAGTAGTGTGCTTTATATCTTATCTTCAGAAGTTAATTACCAAGCATCTTTTAAGTGACTCTTATAACATTAAATAGTTGACTTTCATGTAAAGCAAATGAAGTATTAAATGAATTTAAACATCTTTTTTTGTTTAAAAAAAAGGACTTTAAGCACAATAATACAAAACACATCTAATAAAAGAATCAAACAACCTAGAAGAGTACACAGTGAAAAATAAGTCTCTCCCTTCATTATTGTATTGTATTTTCTACTTTATTTATGAATGTATTTATTTATTTATTTATTTTTGGAGAGGTTTTCGCTATAGGGCGTTTGTGCTTGCCAGACAGACAGAGACATAGAGACAGAAAGCGAGAAATCACCCCCGCAGAGGGCATGGCCACCCCGCAATCCCTTCTCCTCCATTCTCCTCTCAGGATCTTGGGCACGCATGCATACGCGCCTGGCTTGAGTTTAAGGCGCTGGGTCCGGGTCGCAAACCGTGGTCGACTACGTGGGAGTCCAGCAACATAGCCATTACGCTAACTGCTCGTCCCCTCCACTATATTTATTTTTAAAAGTCCATGTATAAGTTGGCCCTCACAGTTTAAACCCATGTTGTTCGAGGGTCAGCTGTATATTATGGAATTATTATTTTGTATCACTAGTTGACTTCTGTTCTTTGTGGTTAAAGGGTTATTTGATATGCAGCCATTTGCCTAAGGACGATCTTATTGATATTGCTGTATACTGTCGCCACTATTGCTTGCTGCCTTTAGCAACAAAACAAAAAATTGGTCAGCTGATAATATGGAGAGAAGTGTTTCCTCAACATCACCTCCAACCTTCTGCAGACTCAAACGCTGAAGTCTTTCAGGAACCTGAAGGGAGATATTTTTTGCTAATTGTTGGTTTGGTAAGTAACTTCACTTTCTTTTGGGGATTTTTTTTTTAATCTATCTACTCACTGTCTAATTAGTTAAGCAAACATGATGCTCACTTGAACTTATCAGTATGTCAAATACCAGTCTTCAAGAAAATGTTACATGCCCTCTTTTTAAAAATTTGTTAAAGGGTTCATGTGTGTTGCTGGAGAGAGACAGAGAGAAAGAGAATGTGAGACCACCACCAAGGGGTTGGTCACACTGCAACCCCTTCTCCATTCCTTCTCTTGGGATTTTGAGCGCGCATGCACATGTGCCCAGCATGTTTTCCCAGCAGCCAGAGTTAGCACTGGAACCATGCAGTTTGCTGTGTGGGATACAGCTGCCTTAACTACCATGCCATCAGCTGGCCCTACATGCGCTTTTCTTTATTCACTGTCTTTTGCATTTGTTTAATACTCATGGAGAAATAATAAGATCCAGAAAAATATTTTAGTATAGAAAAAGTATGTCATGAATTTTCTGACAATATAATAATTTTAACTCTTGGCTTGTTCTGGGAAAGAGAGAGAAATATAAAAACATATAGACTCAGGAACAGAATTGAAATGAAAATAATTCCAATAATTGAGGCTTTTCAAAAGCTATCTTCTGGGAATTCCATGTGCCAAGAGAAGTAATTGATGATATGGCAAGATACAGTGGGGCTGGCCCCATACATAGTGCATTGGTTATGCACTGTGCACATGGCCAACCTTGATTTGAATCTTAGCCCTAGTGTCTTGACAAACACTGGGTACGTGGGTGCACACCCAAAATCCTGACAGGATGGAGAAATGGAGGAAAAGGACTGTGGTATGACTATGCATGACTACTGGGGATGCTTTCTCTAGCTCTCTGGAGAAAACACACATCCTCTGACATTAAAAAAAAAAAAAAAAAAGCGGGGCTCAGCAAATGGCGTAATGGTTATGTTGCTGGGCCCCCATGTAGTTGACCGTGGTTCAAATCCCGTACCTAGTGGCTTAAACTCATGCCCGGCACGTGTGTGTGCATGCCCAAGATCCCGAGAGGAGAATGGAGGAGCAGGAATTGCAACATGGCCTCCCCCCACGGGGGGTACTTTCTCGCTTTCTGTCTCTGTCTTTCTGGCATGCGCACACACCCTATAGCAAAAACCTCTCCAAAAAAAAAGAAAAGAAAATCATATGATTATACCATATGTACATATCTCCTTAGCATTTATGAATTTATACATGCATTACATATGTAAATATTTTCATGATAGCTAAACCTATATTAATTTTTTTACAGAGACATTATATGTTATGTGTACTATTAGAAGCTGGAGGCTGTGCATCAAAAGCTATTGGGAATCCTGGGCCAGACTGTATATATGTGGATCAAGTTAAAACCACTCTTCACCAGCTGGAAGGAGTAGATTCCCGCATAGAGGAATGGCTAGCATCTTCTCCAGGCCCCTGTTTGTCTTGTGCTGACTGGTTCCTTGTTGGATCACGTGAAAAAACAGATAGTTTTACTACTTCACCTATCTTAAGCAAACTACAAGGTACTTCCAAAGTAGCAACCTCTCCAACATGCAGAAGAAACCTTTTTGGTGACTATTCTTTGAAGACACGTAGGCCCAGTCCTTCCCGAAGCAGTGGAGGATCTGACAATGGTTGTGAAGGTGGAGAAAGTGTTGGCCTGAGTCCCCACAATGCACTGGATGTGGTACGGAAGCAAAGAGAATCTCAGGGCTCTGATGGTTTAGAAGAAAGTGGGACCTTTCTTCAGGTGTGTGTACATTCTAGGAGCTAAGCTGTCTCTCCTGTCCTTATTTTACAATTGCAAGATAATTTTTTTAAAAGCAGATAATTTTGCATTTGAAATGGTGGTGGTTTTTTGTTTTGTTTTGCTTTTTTTTGTTTGTTTGTTTGTTTTTGGAGAGGTTTTTTTGGTATAGGGCACATGCGTGCACCAGAAAGACAGAGAGACAAACAGAAAGCGAGAAATCACCACACACACCCTCCCCCCAGGGGGATGGCCATGCTGCAATCCCTTCTCTTCCATTCTCCTCTAGTTTTTCTTTTTTGCTATAGAGCATGTGCACTTGCTGGAGAAAGAGAAGTAGAAAATACCACCCCCACCCCCACCCCCACCCCCGGTGGGGTGGGGAAGGGGGAGAATGGCCACATGTGCAATCTCTTCTCTATGTCTCCCTCTTGTTGGGATTTTGGGCACACATGCACACACTCCTGTCGTGTTTTTCAAGCCACTGTGTCTGGGACTCAAACTTCCCCATTAGCCATATGGGATATAGCCACCTTAACCACCACACTGGCCCTAAAAGAATTTTTAAATTATTTTTACTATTTGATTCCTTTCTTAGATGAAAACTGATCAATCTACTTAATGGTGTTTTTCAGCTCACTAAAAAGAAGTCTGCTCTTCCAAATCCATTTCACTTGGGAAACTTGAAAAAGGAGCTCTCAGAAAAAGAACTGGAAATATATAACAGTATGAAGTAAGAAACTTCTTATATATTTTTTTTCATTAAAAGTTTGTCTTTGAGGGGGAACCAGCAGTTAGCGTAATGGCTATGTCGCTGGACTCCAACGTAGTCGACCGCGGTTCGCGTCCCGGACCCGGTGGCTTAAACTCACGCCAGGCGCGTGTGCGTGCGTGCCCAAGATCCCGAGAGGAGAAGGGATTGTGGCGTGACCTTCCCCCCTGGGGGGTGATTTCTCGCTTTCTGTCTCTATGTCTCTTTCTGTCTGTCTGGCAAGTGCACGCGCCCTATAGCAAAAACCTCTCCCAAGAAAAAAAAAAAAGTTTGTCTTTGGGGACCAGCAGTTAGCATAATGGCCATGTCGTTGGACTCCCACGTAGTCGACCGGGGTTCACTTCCCGGACCCGGTGGCTTAAAACTCACGCCAGGCGCGTGTACCTGTGTGCCCAAGATCCCGAGAGGAGAATGGAGGAGAAGGGATTGCGGCGTGATCATCCTTCCTGGGGAGGTGATTTCTCGCTTTCTGTCTCTATGTCCCTCTCTGTCTGTCTGGTGAGCGCACGCGCCCTATAGCGAAAACCTCTCCAAAAAAAAAGTTTGTCTTTGAGGAAGTTTTGCATGAAAAAGTAAATCTGTAATGAGATTTTATTCCACAAATGTAATTATATCTTACATATTAAAAGTAACACCTATGATATTTCTGTAATGTTTCCTTACACATTTAGGAAATTAGCCATATTTGTACTATAAGAGATAAAAACACACAAAGTACCATTTCAAAATATGAAAATTCCCCTTTACCTCTTTTCCGGAAGTAACTTACCTACCTTTTGTATGTCTAATATAATTTTTAAATTAGAGATTACTATTTTTAGACTCTCTGGTGGATGTTATGTGGTGCTTCCAGTTACTCCATAGTTAAGAGAGGAGTGGTGACCACTAATAACCCACAGCCAAACCCGTCTCTTGGCTGGGTGCTACGTGGAAATTTGTTGACTCAGCCAAGCCTACCTTCCTCTCTGGGAGTAGCCCACTTGTAGTTACTAACAGATAGGTGAGTACAAAGGCTTGGCCCCATACCTGAATTCAAAAACTTGAAAAGATTCTGCTGCAACACAGTTCCACTTCTCCTTGTGCTCAGTCCTGCTTCCATCACTCTGCCCTCTACATTTCCAAGAGTGCTTTCTTAGAAACTTTGTCCCTGGATAGGTCCTCTCCAGAGTCTCAGGGAATTGGTCATATAACACCCTCTTTAGAATGTCTTACTTTCTCTCTCTCTCTCTTCCTCTTTCTCTGGCAAGAACACGTGCCTTAGAGCAAAAATTTCTCTTAAAAAAAAGGGGGGGGTGGCTGCAGGTGGCATGGTGGTTAAGGGCTCTGGACTCCCACATTTTTTACCACAGTTTGAGTCCCTATGCTTTCTCACTTTCCCGGACCTGGCATTTTCTCACTTTCCCTCTCTGTGTCTCTCTCACTCTGGCCCTCTCTGGTCAAATTAAAATAAATAAAGTTAAATAAAATAATTCTTTAAAAAAAAAAAAAGTAGGTAAAACTGCAGGCTTACATTGAATATAGAATTCTGAAGTCAACTGTATGAGGAGAGACTGCTTAGCAATTTAAACTGTATAATTTTTTTAATATATTTATTTATTCATTTATTTTAATTTGACCAGAGAGAGACAGAGAGAGAGAGAAAAACAATGAGGTGTCCAGCCACCAAGTATGGGACTTAAACCGTGGTCAGCCATATGGGAGTGTCCAGCACCTTAACCACCGCTCCACTTGCTGGTCCCATAAACTGTATGATTCTTGCAAACGAAATGTTACAGATCACTTCTTATCCAGTTATTATGTGGTAACCGCGTGTCTGTCTAAGCCTTGCCTGATATTAAATTATGATGTCATATGTGCAGTTGATTGGTATAATAAACTCAATTGCACACTTTTATTTGAACTAGACTTGTACAAATAGAATTCACACAAACAAAAAATTGTAGAGCTACCACCTTATATATTGAAACATTTTATAGTAAGTTCAAATATGCCAGTGCTGTCAGCAGATGTTTTATTTCTGAAGTCAGTTACTTGTCTACATAAAATAACGCATCAGAAATCTAATGTGTTAAAATTCATATTTATGAGTCAGCCCCATAGCATAGTGGTTAAAGGCAGCTGAATCCCATATGGCCAACCATGGTTTGAATACCAGGCCCCTGTAGCTTGAAAAGCACCCTGGGTATGTATGCATGTATGCCCCAAACCCTAACAAGATGGAGAGAGGGAGGAGAAGGGATTACAGTGTGACTATGCCCCATTGGGAGATGCTTTCTCCCTTCTTCTCTTTTGCTCTAATATCACACACACCTTCTGACAATTAAAAAAGAAAGAAAATGTATTTAATGTCCCCAAATATGAATGTTTAATTTTTAATTACTAAAAATGTTTTTAGACAAATAAATAAAAAATCAAACCTTTTATGAAACCCTAAAATACCTTCACAGAAGTCTCGTCTTTTCTGTAACAAAAATGACTGCTCTGAAATTTTACTGCCTCCATATCAGACTTTTTTTTAAATACATAGGTTATTTTGGCTTTATCTCTAGTAAAATTCAGTTCTTTTTTTCCAAGTTCAGTAGCTTAAACATAAATTTACACATGGTGTAAATCAAAGACACTTTTATTGTAAAAGGTGCTAGAAATGAGTGTTTATCCTCATTATTGACATGAAGAGATATTTTCATACTATGTAGTTCACTTTTAAAGCACTGTATAAAACAAGATATAGTATCCCAACTTATATGTATATATTTTCAAAGAATAAAAATATGTAACATTAAAGATTATAGTATGCACAAAGCATTGAGTAACCAAGTCCTATTTCCTACAGTTCTTGAGTCTATTCAGCCCTTTCAGATGCCTTGCTAGTCCTCACTACCATTTTATCTCAACTGACTGCAGCTTCCCAACTCCTAGCCTACTCTGAGCCCATTTTCTACTGCAGGGGTGACCTTTCTGAGAAACAAATTTGACTTTATTTGCTTTTTTGTCCAAATCTTTTATCTTCGTATTGGGTAATTGCTTGTTTGGTGATGTTTAAGCTTTCAGTTAATATACACCAAGTATATTAATATTTTCAAGAGCTAAGTTTGGTCATATGTTGTCATTTATTTTTGAGAGAAAAAAAATTTTCTTTTTGGAGGTTTTTGCCATAGGGCACATGCGCTCACCAGAAAGACAGAGAGAGACAGAGACAGAAAGCGAGAAATCAA